ATCCCATTCCTTTTCCGTCACTAGCAGAGAACAGTTTACAGAACACAGGCTGCCTTATCGTGATGTGTGCTATATAGGCTGAAAGGGGGCTGGGCCTTATGAGTCAGTTTTTGCAACTCTACGCAAAAGCTTCCAGGTCAAAAACACATCTTTCAGGCTGCTGGCTTCATTTAACGCCATGGAAGGGGAGGGAAGTTACCAGAAATCTTCTGCACTGCCTGAAGCTGCTTGAACACTAATTAAAATTAGACAATGCAGAAAAGAAGAAAGAATCGAGCAGTAATGAAAAGCCACGGCGTAGGAGTAGTGGCAGGTCACTGAGAATGAAAAACAAAACAGTAGGGAGAAGATTATTGATAATGGTCCAAACGGGCATACTTCCTGCACGTTTCTCCTCTGTGACCACTGAAGCACAATGAACTATAGCTTCACGAATATTAATGTCTTCACTAACGTGTTATCCTCTGGTCAGAAACTGAAAGACTATCACAAGAGAGACAGCAGACGCTGTACAAACGATATTAATTCTTCCTTATGTCAGGTTGTAAAATGTGTTAGTAGGTTCTTTAGGGGGAACAAAACAGACAGGTCATTGCCCTATTGAAAGCTGCATTATAATGCATCCAACAAAATTTCAGAACAACAATTGTGCAGACAACCATGAAACCATTACTTCCTAGCTTTCGAGCTCCTGACTTTCACCTAACTAATGTACATCTCTTACGTGCTGGAGCTATTTGTGTCTCTTACATCCTGGCTTTGTTTTCAGGACATGTAACAAGAGTGAAAAACAATTTCTATTATCTACACTGGTAACAGCTTCCTTGCATTCATACTATATGTCAGCAGGGCTTGAACCCTGAACTTTCAGAATATTGCTACAGCAGTTAACAGAGCCATCATTAACTGGCAATGGGTGGAAGATCGGTTATCTAGGAGGGCCAGATGACTAGACCAATTATCTTTTCCCAATGCTACGTGCAGTGAGTCATCTCCCTCAGTTCCCAAGCACTAGGATGGACGTAGAAGATCACCAGACTGGAGCTGGGACTGGGAGAACCCCATCCACCTTTTCATTCCAACTCCGCAAAACTGCCCTTGGGCTCTGGGACAAGGATATCTGACAATTCAGGTAAGACCTGCATTACAGCAGCCTTGGGAACAGTATTACAGGTATGTTATTTGGAGCCACGACTTGGCAACATTACGAGAATCAGCTATGACAATTCTGACATGCAGCCACCAGCAAACACGAAAAAAATGTTAAGTGCTGGAAGTTATCTATGCCGCGTTCTCAGGACAGTTTTTGGCAGGCAGGATGAGGGGGGGAAGGTGTACTACTCATACCCCAAGCATCGCGCAGTTATTGTAGGAGAGCAGAAGGGTAATTCAAGTTTACAGGAACATTTATTTATCTGTTAAGCATAAAACCCCAGTTTATTACTACTGTATCAGCAACCTTTAAAACTTTGGTATGCCATGCTCAGAACAGGTACACTCAGTAACAAGGGGTTTCCAGCCCCACCAAGCAAACACCAGAAATCAGAAGTCAAAGAGTTGCCATTTCAAAACAGTGCGGCGACCTTCTCATGTTCTGTTGAGCATAAGAAACACTCCATCTCTTAGTGCTAAACACACAGCTTGTAGCAAACTGTAGTCACGAAGGTAACTACTCACATTTACAGAACTCAAGAGGAAGCAGACATTACCACTGAAAAGTTACACTCCAATGGTAAGTTAAGCAATACATAGCAAGTTACTGACAATGACTACAAATAGCTCATTGTTCTCCTACACTTTATCATAGAAGCTATTCAAAATAAACTTGTCATACTCTATTTTTCCCCTCCCCAATAACACAGAATCATGGCAAGCCATTTCCCCATCACTAGAGAATGATGGTTTACCTGCTGAAATAATCTCTTAAGAAAGATCTGTATTTGGAGGGTGGGTTGGTCTTTTTTTTTTTCCCCCTAAACTGCTAAACTGAAACTACACAATCAGGAAAACAGAAAGTAACCTAATGGCAGTCTGAGTAGGAATTACTTGAGAGATTATCCAGTTTTACACTTTACCTGTGAAATTCGTCAAAACTTTCAGTTGCCACCCACTTCTGAGCAAGTTTCAGATCCCTATCAGTATTTTGCACTACAGTGTCTTGCTCAAGTTTCCATTCCAAAATGGAAGCCCATTTTGTTTGGGCTCTACCAGTCAGCACTCAGCTTCACGCTCAATAGAAAATAACCCATCAATAACCAGGGGAAAAAAGCTTCTGGTGATTCACTGCTGCAGGCTACAGCCTTCTGTCACGTTCACACATCCAAATTAAGGCAAATCCAGCAGTTCCAGAAGAGAAGACTGTCATGTCCAGATAAAAGATAATATCTACCTGGTATCACGTTAAATATGTTAGAGTCAAACTTGTCTCTTAATGCATCATTATCTTCCATCATGACACATTCCCAGCAACCTTCAGCTCAGAAGCAGTCAGGCTGCATGCTGAAATACCACTTCCTGGTCACTGCTGGTTATTGGAAGACACTTCTGCCTCAGATCTACAATAGCTGCTCTCTAGCTGACTTGTGCAGGTGAAACTGAGACATGATCATCTTGCTACCATAAACTACGGAGGTTCTCCATTACTCCAGCCAAGAAGGTTTGCTTTACCAGTAAGTAAAAACCCCACTAGTTTCTGGCCCAGGTACTAATCTGAATTCAGGCCACAGTAAGGTAGCATGCACCAAGACACAATTAATCCACATACACCTTCTGGTTTGATCTTATCAATGGAGTTGCTGTCTAGTCCCAACAAAGTAACAGCCTGATTGATACTCAGTCTTGTTTCATTTGTTTCATTTTTTCACTGTTTCTCACCATCTCTCCTGTACCTGACTGCCTTGTAAACAACCCCTTGTTTCAAGGACTGGTAAAATTCTCCTTCCCGCATTCTCTGGAGGCTCATTAGCCTACTCCAAGGTGATAATGTCTCTTTGATTATAGACCACAGTCACCAAAACAGGGCAGTCTTGCTGTTGTTCCCACTGCTTATCAGTTTCATCACTAAAACTGCCAGAAGACTACCAACACAAAAAAAGTTTTTCTGTCTTTTAAATAAGTCAAATCAGTTAATTGATGTCCAAAAAGCACCAGCGTGGCAGAAGGTAAACAGCGAGCATGGAAAGAAAGGCCTTTCCCTCTTAGCAGCGATGAGCTATTGTATCAGCTCAAGCTGTACATGAATCTGTACCTTACCCTGAACCTCAAAATCCGCAGTAATCCTCATCTTGTAACAACTATATGTAGTGCTTAGGTGTCTACATCCTGCATTTCGCAGCTCTTGCCTGAGAGCAGACATGATAGTAGTTAATCATTAAGAAGCGAGAAATCCCCAAGACCTTTCTCCTGTACTTTCACCTGTGTAACATACATGCATTTGCTCTCCTTCCCTTCTCCCACAAAAAGTCCATGCACAAGTAATTGTGTATACACCATTATTTTCCAAGAATTGCCCAAATCCTCTCCCCAGTGGCTTATAAACAAAAAAATTCAGTGTCGGAAGCAACTCAGCAAGGCCCTGGAAGACATAATTGAAGCTAACTTTGCAAGTTACTAGCGTTGAGACCTACCTTCTTCCACTCTGACATGGCATAGTAACACGAGCACTAATACAGACCTCGTTCTCAAAGATTTTGCCCAGGTCTTGCTCACAGCTCGTCATGTGAGCCTAAGCAACAAGCAAAATGATAAAGCCTGTGCTGTGAACAGTTAATATCTAAGGAATGCTCAAGCTTACCTCTCTTGCCTGCTGGCTTGAGGCAGTGATAGCACATTACTGCCCATACTTGAGGCTTTCACAGAAGAGTAAGTAGCCTGGTGCTCAAAGGAGTCTGTTCAAGCTTTCTCCTTCTGCTGAAGAGTTACCGCTCAGGCTGGATTGCATCTTTCTTAACTCATCTAAATGACAGTCACTGAGAAACCTCAGAAAAATATTTACATTTAGATTTAACTGCCTCCTGCTGAGCTCCTACTAACTCAAGAGCTGCTGTTTTGTCTAGCAGTCCCATCATGAGAATTATCGAGTCATACTAGTAAGCAAAGACATTGTTTGCTTAGAGCATGTTGCTTAGTCTGTTTTAATGTGAGACATTTGCACAAAATACCTAAGGTCTTCTGGCAACTTAAATTAATACCCTTCTAAGAAAAAGAAAATAGAAAAACAAACCAAACACAAAAAAATAGGGTCTCAAGACCCCTCTCTCATTCTGCATAAAGATTTCTACAGTTCTTCGTACCCAATAAGCCATGGGAATGGATGACACATCAAGCTGATGCAGAAAACACACATCAGACTATCATGGGCTGGTAAGTAGGTAAAAGAAAGAGGCTCTAAAAACAGTTTACCCTCATAAGACAACAAGTAACAGCTTTCCTGGTTTGTGTTATTAAAGTTACTGATCAAGTAAACTGAAGATGAGCAATAGGAAAAATACAACAAACTAAAGTTAAAACAACTGCAGAGTTTCACTTTTTATTGCCTTTTTAAAGGAGATGAGTTTTAATACAGTGAACAGAGTAATACTTCGAGCAATAAACCAGACTAGACAGAAGTGTAAGACATGCTAAATTTAGATGCAACCAACTCCGAGACACTCGGCAGCCAGAGAAAGATGGGATCAAACATACCACCCTTTAACCATAGATGGAGATAATACAAGGCCTTTCAGTAACATCTTAGATGCTGTGAAAACCGCACGGTCCCATGAGCAAATAAGCAAGCCTAAATCCTGTGAGTGAAGTAGGTCTGGCACAGGGACAGTCATTCAAAGAGGAGAAAGTTCCAGACAGCACAGAGATACTGTGACAGGGCTGTTGGTGATGTACCGTTCAGATTTTTAGGCTGCACTTTCCCAACCACAACAATAAGGATGTACTTCTACAGGAAGCACACCCATCATTTCACCTGCAGCGAGCCAGCTCCCTCCACGCTGCAGGACCCTCACCTTATTGTAGAACTCCAGCTCCCTGGGACCGCGAGGTGGTGGCTGCAACTGCTTCAGGACAGTCCCATCTGGATGCTGCAGTATACCTACAAGAGAAGCATTTCTTTCAGGGCTTAGTTTTAAGACATGCAGCTTTTTTTTTTTCTCCCCAGAAATAGCAAATACACCCTCAGGGACAGCCTATTTGCAAAGTTGTATTGCTGTCAGTACGCGCACAGTAGGGTAAATTGGCAGCTCCTACAAAACCCTTACCAGAGGTTTGCTTGCATTCCTGTTTTTCTAGCCATCAGATGACTTCCTGGGTCTAATTCTGCTCAAGGCCAACACAGTACTGGGATTTGACATTAAACATTCCACCCAAAGAACACCATTCATTCAACTATGGAAGATTACATAGACATTCCCTTTTTAAATAACTGATAAGTTGGTTTTCCAACAATGTCGAGAAGTTAATGGAGTTAGTACCAAGTTTAACACATTTTTCACTAGCTAAAATAGAAATATACATCATGTGATTGTACTTCTATACTAGTAGCATAGAAAGAGCACGTCTATATGACCAGCCCTTATGACTCTCCAGTCAGTAATATCACTGAGTAGATGCATAAGAAATGCAACTGAATATCTGAGGGTACTCAAGGGCTGAATTTGGGCAAGAATGCAGAAAAGTAACTGCATCCCTCTGAAATATGCTCAAAATTTCAAAATCATCAGTTGCAAGAAAAAAAGAAAAACCCAATTCTGGAATTTTTTTTTTTCCTGGGATGTACTCATAGCTTTCCAGACAATAATTTATTTTGCTTAGAAGGGAAGCAAAAATGCCAACTACATCCAAAATATGTTCCATCTTCAGCTTACCACTTGAGGAAACACGGTAAAACAAGCCAGGAGCTTTGTGTCCCAAAAAGAGTTTGCAGTTGTAAACAGCAATTGTTTTTTCCTCTTTTAGAAAGCATTATCTCTGAATGGGCTCTGTTGTGCAGTCTTGGAAACAAAACAAAATCTTTAGAGCCCAAGATATTTACTTTAAAACAACCACCACACTTAGACAAGTTATTTCATTAGTTGGCTGTGCCAATGAACAAAGGAGTGGATTTAAAAATCTGCATAAAGCAGCTCTCAAGTCATGTTGCTTGCTGAAAGTTGGATTGTGTATACTTTCCAGAACTAGAAAAATATTGCTACACAACAATGCACAGACTACTGCATCTTCAAGACACAATAGCTTCTTCCTTACTCCCCTTACGCTTTTACATGTGCTGGAAACCACTTAGCAAAGTGCACAAAGTATTTGAATGGCACGTGTTTTGAATGTGAACAGCTAACAATCACAACATTTACAAAGGTTGTAAAACACATAATCCTCAAAATCTGCACATTGGCTTTGATGATAAGACAAGTAGACAATCTACAAAGTAGAAAGACCAGGCAAATATTCCTCAAAATAGAACCCATGCGCTATTGGATTGATACATATTACTTGAAAAGTTTAATATAATGTGACATTGTCTAAAGTTCGCTCATCCTCTGGACTTCTCAATGGACTGGAGCACCTACTCTCTAACTATGACTGAGGCAGGCCTGGAAACCAAAGACTCATGTTTCACATTCACCACGATGATGAAAACTCCATAACCTCCCCTTTGATCTACAACAACAATCAGAGATACCATCAGCTGCAGATCATACTAACATATGGATGTTGGTCATGGGTTGGTTCTAGGGTTCCTGGGGTTTTTCAGGGCAGATAGGGAGCAATATTGTTTTAATATAAGAATAAGCAATTTAACATTTCTAAAGAAGCAGCAGAACTAGATCAAAACTAAAATTCTCAAATATCTCACAAACATTTCTTTATGGCCCTGTGTGCAAAGCTTGCTAGCATTCTAAACCTCAAATCTACTGCAAAAATAACCAGTACAGATGTATGTACTCTTCTAAACAACAACAAAAAAATCACATCCAATCCATGTCTCACTGAACTATAGATGAAACCTGTTCTGCACAAATACACCAAACATTTACTTTAGAAATGATCCTCTGTCTTCTGAGGGCACCTAATAGGGACTGACCAGTATGTATGTGCCACCTTAAGCTTTGTATTGGGAAAACAGCAGCCAGAGTTAGAAGTTACGTGATTTGCATGACCGAGCAAGTCACACCAAAAGAGAATGGCTCCTTTAGCTACAGAATCCCACTGATGGCTTGGGGACCTCCAGCACTTTGCGGGTACAAGCACTAAACCACAGCCAGGTGTGGGAGGCTCTAAACGGTGGCATATCCCATCAGCTCCTGTCTCTCTCCACCTGCCTATGAAATTAAGCCACAACCCACGGTGGTTCCCTTACTACACATTATTTACTGTTGAGGGGACAGCACTACTGAACACAGCGTTCAACAGAAGGTCAGTCATAACGCCCAGAAGTCAAGGGTCTACGTGCGCATGCAGGGAGACTGCCAGAGCCCTTTCTTGCAAAGTGGTAATAGTCACAGGGAGCAAAGGGAAAACAGAAAGGTTATTCTGGAAGGAGGGAATCCTATGGCAAAGAAATTTTAAGGTGCACTTTACCCCCCCCCCCAAAAAAAATAGTCAAAAAGTACTTTGGACACCTGCAAGTCCTCTGCATGTTTGTATGTGGGGACAGAAGGGAAGTCGAGCGCAGAGGACAGCAGTGACAGGCAGGAGGAAGCTGGGCAGAACAAGGAAGGCTCCGAGCTTGAATCAGTAAACAGCTCAGATACTAACACCAGCTGGGTACAACTTCCATGTTGTATGCATAGCAATAGAGGTATCCCAACAAAAAGGAACATTGCTTTTATACCTTTAGGCTTTTAAAATGCTAAAGGTTCAATGGGGCAGAAAAGGGCAGAACAGCAAACATCAGGAAGGGTGACTACTGTAGGAAAAGGCAGAAAAGGCTATGGAGACGGTAGAAGACACACTGGTCTTCTCACACATGTTTAAACTTCTCACAGATTCTGGCATACAGATTGTCTGTGACATTCCTTACCAGTGCTATTAGCAACTACATATATCCAAACATCTGGCCACTAGCTTCACAACAAAGACACCCCGAGGAGCAGCACTGCAGAATTATACATGACCCTGTATCTTTAGCATCTCAATTGCCTGCACTCCTACATACAACATCTGTAAAGAAATAAAATTGAAATATTCAGTTACACAAATGAGAGAGCTGTGAGTGCCAAAATAGCTTTGGTCTTCACTTAAATGTAAAATTTGATTTCTAAGATGAGATAATCAACCATGGTGGTACCTCTGCAGGAAAAACTTGGTCTTGCTCATTAGGTGTAGTGGAACTAGCTTTACCTAATCCATTTGAGCTGCACCCACAATATAGATGGTGTTTCACCCATGTTGTCTTGATCCAGCTGTGGTAAAATTGACACGCCAAAGGTGAGGCTCTCCCTGAATGAGCCTTTTTTGCCTGACCCCACCCCATATTATGATATATGGCCAAGAAGGAAGATGTGCAGCTCCAAGGATACAACGCACATCCCCTCACATGCTATTGCACTGGTTGCAGCAGGGGCAAGGCACAAGAATTACTTTGCTGTGGAGATTATCAGCAGCAAAACACGCCACAGACGCAGGCAGTAGATAAGACAAACTCACAGTGCCATTAGTGCTGTAATTTCATTTGCTGATGGCTGAAGAGGCTCTGAACTTCAGCCCTATTAGGCAGAGGCAGTTCCTACTGACAGTGTTCAAAGGCAATATGACAGCAGACACTCATTATAGCTACTCTCAAAGGGCACACCAAGAGCTGAATGGATCTAGACCTTATATTTGGCTCGGAGGCAGGAGTTGTACCAAACGCGATGTCACAGAAGCGTGAGAAATGCCATTTGGCAACGCTAACTTGGCCGCTTGCTATGGCACTGGCCACTGCCTGTGTTAAAAGGCACCTTCATCAGAAAGGCCACCACTGCACTCCCCAACCTGGAATTAAAATAGAAATTTAAAGCTTGTGGACGCACACTTCAAACATGTAGTATCCTTGTGATATTTGTATTATCAGACCACTTGCTAGCCATAAGTTTGGACTTACTATCAAATAAACAAGCAACCAAGAAGTTACCCCAGGTTGCTAAACCGCTTACTTCTGCTGAAGTTCCTGGTGGCCGTCGGTTGGGGGTTCCCTTCAGATAAAGCACGATTTCAACACACGTTCTGAGGGTACCAGCACACCGTTACCCAAATTCACACTTTTTTAAAAGGTGCCTGTTATAACTAAGCTGGACTGCAGAGGCCCCGCGGCTTAGAGTTGCCTGTTAACTGTCCTGATGAGCCACCACCACC